TGCCACCTCCAGGCTGTCTTCCAACCCCTGAGCGAGTGATCTCAATCTGCACAGACCCTCTTGTGAAAGAAGAAAGTCATCTGATGAGCAAATTCACATGGAAATTCTAATGACAGCGCTCTTTCCTTGTTGGGAGGATCTCACATCTATTGTGCATTTCATAAGTACCAGGCTCTCCTAACCATGTGATGAGGTCAGTATTCTTGTCATTCTCGTGCATAGCTCATATGATTGAAGCCCTGGGCAGCCTCTGCAGGACTGTTATGAGACTCAACCAGCAGTGACTGGACAGTGCTTTAAGATAAACAATGGACAAATGTGTATGCGAGGTGTTGCTGGAGCCAGTGGTCCTTTGATCTTGGAACCACACAGTCTTACTATTATCATGACACAGAGGTGGCCTCCCTGGTTCTCTTTCTGTCCCTATGATTTAGCTCAATCCTGAGAGACAAGGTTCCTTGAAGCGTCTTGGGGACCAGCTGGCTTTGCAGCTTCCTCCAAATTCCCCGGATGGGTCTCACCTAGCACAGGACCTGTCCCCCACAGTCAATCAGTGTCTTTCTGGTATGGTGAGTCCCTTACATTATTTTTAGTGTCATTAGCTTTGCTAAGGTTCATTATGTTAATATCATAACTAGTTTTTGTAAAACGAAGAGGAAAAGCTTTCAGATGCCAAATATTTATTGGCTCCCTACAATGAGACCTAAATATTCACTGCAGAATCTAAAAGTGTGCAAATCCAAAATGGCAGCCTGCCAAACTAAGTGCATTTTTGGACTGCTGCTTGGTGACGTTGAGTCAAGAGTGGATTCTGAAGCATCAGTTTCAGGCTGTCTGTCTCTCTCCTTTTATTCCGATCTGGGCAGAAGCCCGTGCGAGCTTCCCTTTGAATGGCTACATTTTTGTGTGAAAAGTGTCCTTAACTCAGAAGGGGGCATGCTCTTTCAAGGGTGAGAGAGATCTTCACCACTGCCATCCTTTGCCAGATGGGTTGCTTTTGTCTGGTGTTCGACAGAGAATATGAAATTGTGTCTGTGCATCTTAAAATCTATCCTGCTGGGAAACAATTATTTACTTTGTTTTATGCCAGTTTCTAATGAGGAGTTGCTATGTGAATTAACAAGCTTGAGCAATGTGTTTGAGGGAAGTAAGTAATTTGGGGAATGTGGGAAACTTCTATTAGACCACCTGTTTTACCGGTAAGGCACAGACAGTCTCTCCTTTAATCCAGTTTTTGAAATGAAAAATGAGATTAAATATGTCTGTTCAGGGCATTTTGAAATGAGGTCTTATCAAAATATGGGAAGTAGCAGGAATGGAAAGGAGAGAGAAAAAAATGTCTGATTTTCTGTATCTCGGTCAGAACTGACATGCACCCAAATCAGTTGGGTCATGATGTTAGAGACCTTCTTGCTTGTTAATATCATAAGGAGACACTGCCATATGTGACACTAACCACATGCACGTAAATGTGTGATCAGATATACCCCAGGCCACAGTCTGAAAGCTTTTGACCCATTTTGTTAGTTAAGCTTTTGGAAGGCAATTTGGAAGCTACATTTGATTAGAAAAAGTCCTTCTCTACATAGGTACTTTGGTGGGGACTTGAAATTCTTTTGGCGTACGTCCATTTTCATGATTAACTCTTGATATTTGGTAGTCACCTTGTCCCAGCCACATGCACAGGTGCATTGAGCACCAATTTGCAAGGCACCGCTTAGAAATTGAGCAAGTGACAGAGATGAAGTGGCAGGAGGCCAGTATTCCCAGGAATATAAGTCCTAAGCCCCTGCCTGGAGTGACGCTCAGGGACAAGCGTCTGGGCGCTTAGGACACGTGCGGTCACCAAATCTGGTGCAAGCATTTGCCAGCCTTAGAAAGGAAAGGGACTGTCCCAAGTGTCCGCAGCCAGTGGTCGTGCAGAGGCCCCTTCTGAACCTGGCTGTGATGGCCATTGTCCTAGCTGTTGGTCATTTGCTCAGACACAGGCTTGGCCTCATAAGGGCAAAGGTGGGAAGAAGACATTTCATCAAGGAGGCTCTCAAGTCAAAGTGAGAATCTTTCATTTGGGATATGATCCAAAGGGCTCTCCCAGCCCCCCAGGCCAAGCTCCAGGGATACACTGCCAGCTCATGCTGACATTTAAAGGCAACAGACAGCTTGAATTAATTACACATGAATGAAATCACAGCAGGCCTCAGAGTTGATACCTGAGCTCTCCTTTGGCAACTGAAGTCATAAAAAGTACATTGAAGAGGGGCCAAAGAGAGTGTTAAAAAACCTAAAAGGAATAAGAAAATGTTTTGAAGAGGAGTTTTTTGAAAAGGTACCTTGACAAGGATGGCTGGATAATGGATAATCCAGGTAGGTACCATTCAAATGCAGGTTGTGAGCAAATCTGCTTGTAGTTAATACTACCCCTGGGGACAGCAAATTGGGAGTGATTGCAATAGGCTAGTGGTTCTCAACCTTTCTGACTATGACTTACTCTAAGAAATACTTTTGCATCTTATCCTGATACCATACACACACACACACACACTCTCTTTCTCTCTCTCTGTCTGTTAAACACATGAAATTCAAAAAGAATTTCATGAAACAATATTTGCCCTTTCTATACACTGTGACATTGTCTAGTATAGTCTTTTAGTCTTATCTTTTCATGAAATCATTAAACTGCTGTGCACTATTTTATCGAGTTCAAGTATATTTCACTGCCTATTAATGTTTTGAAGCCATCATTTGAAACTTAGAGTCTTAAGAGCTCAGACGCATGCAAACTGGATTTACACCTTCTCCATGAAATGATCACTGGAATTGATGAAGGGATCAGAAAACTAAGGTCCAGGGGGAAAAGTCTGCCCTGTTGGCAGTGTGAGTTTCACGGACACACAGTCACACCGTGGCTTCACCTGTGGTGCATGGCTGCTTTTGTGCGACAGTTATGGTTGAATAGGTACAGCAGAGTCCATGTGACCTGCAAAGCTGAAAATATTTACTGTCTGGTCCTTCACAGAAAAAATTTGTTGACCCCCATCGGTGCCTCAGGACGTCTGCAGGGAAACCACTCAGCTTAGCCCTTCCACAGATGTATCTCAGGCTGCAGATAAATTGATGATAAATTGCCCTTTTCTTCTTTAATGTTTATTTACTTTTGAGAAAGAGAGATAGCAAAGGAGAGGCAGAAGAGAGAGGGAGACAGAGGATCTGAAGAGGGCTCTATCCTGATAGTAGACACCCTGATGTGGGGCGTGAACTGTGAGATCATCACCTGAGCCAAAGCAGACACTTAACTGACTGAGCCAGTCAGACGCCCCAATCAGTTACCCTTGAACAACAATTTTGGGGTCGGGCCCTGTATCAGGCTCTGGAGCCTAATCTGCTTTAGATTCTGTCTCTGTCTCTCTCTGCCCCTTCCTGGCTTGTGCTCTGTGTCTCTCTGTCTCTCAAAAATGAATAAAACATTAAAAAAAGAATTTTTAAAGAGGTTGTTCTATCTCTCTCTCTCTCTTTCTCTCCCTCAGTCCCCTCTCTCTGAACCATGAGAGGACAAAGTGAGAAGGCAGCTGTCTGCAAGCCAGAAAGACACCTCTCACCGGAAACCAAATCTTGCGATTCCTTGATCTTGGACTTTTCAGCCCCCAGAGCTCTGAGAAAAGAAAGTTCCATTGTTGAAGCCACAGAGTCTGGGGATTTGTTATGGCAGACTGGGCTAAGACAAAGTGCATTGTAGGATGTTTGGCAACATCTTTGATTTCTACCTACTAGATGCCGTAGCATCCTCCCAATGGTGACAATTTCTGGGGGTCAAAATTGCCTTCAGTTGAGAATCACTGGGATGCAGATTAGGACTGCATCTCTCACTTGTGTTCGTTAGCCTATATGAGTTTGGTATTAGCTGATTGGGAATGGGCAGAAGGGGGGATTCATTCTGGAATTTGACTCTCACTTGGTTGCTTTTGGAGTCTCATTCTGTGACACTGGGATAGCCTGCAGGTAGCTGAAGAAAGAAATGTCTGTGAGAAGAACAGGAACTACAACGAAACTGGTCAGGCAGGCACTGGCCCTGGGTGGGCGCCTTTGCAGCTCTACACCACTTCAGAAGGACAGAACCCTGTGGTCCACACTGGTCCTTTAGCTCTTGACATTCTGAGTGTATTGCCACACTGGCTGGCAGAGAAATAAAGCTCAGTATCATTAATGACCTGATTTCTGCCCAAACTTTCATAAATGTTATCCTGATTTGGCCACTGTTACCTGGAAACTTCTGATAAATGGATTTTGGAAAAGCTTTTTTTTTAAGACAAGCTTGGATGAGACAAGCTTTGAAATTTGGACTAAAATCAGAGGGAAGACTCTGGTTAATTGCCTTTACCTTACCTGGGACTCTTGAGATGCTGAAGACAGAAAATATTCCATAGCCATATACTGAGAAATCATTTCCATCTAGGTGGTTTGGATCAATCATCTTTCCAAGAAAGGGATGATATGTCTATTTCCAACTGCATTTTCCCCCAAATGGACGTAGCGATTGCAACATTTCATAACTTCCCTCTAGTTATCAGTTTTAAGCATGGTCCCTGCTCTTTTCCAGGCATTTCTGGAACCATGAGAAATACAGAGTCACATTCAGAGTTTATTGATGGGAAGGCAGCACACAACACGTGTGGATTGTTACATGGAGACCCCCACAAGGTGATAGGTACCTGAGTGCAGACCCCACCCCCTCACAGCCACTGTGAATATACACATGGGACCCAGGGCTGTGCAGATCTCACTGTGCCAAGTCTCTTCATGGTCTTTATGGCAAATATGAAGGGTGGGAAGTGGCCGGGAATTTTGGCTCTATGGAGTCATCAGCTTTTTAGTTTTCTCCATAGCTGTGTCTTATCTGAGTTATTCTCTACCACAGCCAAACATACTGAGAGCTTATATTGATTTGTTTGTCACTGTTGTTTGCTACTGCTTTTTATTGCATCCTTCCTAGACCCTCCAAAGACTGCCCCAGATTGTTCCAGAACCATTCACAGTGCTGTCTTGTCCCATCCTGATGTACAGGCGGACGCTTTGGTAAGTGGCCCAACACGTCATGACCATCAGCCACTATGCCACCAGTACCTTCCTGATTTCTATTCTTTGAACTTTTCCTGCTCCGTGGGGCTTCTTTGGCTCCAGAGCCTCACATCTCTTGTGTTCTGGGCGTGTTTGCTCTCCATGGGCTGCTGCTCTGACTTGCCACATTTCCTTTTCCTCCAAGATTTTCTCCTTGGTCATGTCACTGAGTCTGGCCAGTGTGGGCAAAAGTGAAGCCTTCTCAAGTGTGATCCAAGCTCTCTCCTCTCTTTTGCTGACAAGATGCAGAGAACCCTGGGGAAGACTCTAAGAGGTGAAGATGGAGATGGAAGATGGAGGAAGGGAGGGTCCTGGATTCCTGGATGACTCTGTGAGTCAAACGACTTGGACCATGCCTGCCTCCTCCTCTGACACATGTGAGCAGAATATAAATGTCTGTTGGGCTGAGTCTCCAAGATCTGCTGGTTGTTTGTTACAGTAATTAGTCTATGCTGTTTCATACCCTTTCACTTCCAGTCACCTGAAGCCACTGATCACTTTTTCTTACCTGCAGGCCCCGGACTAGCTTCCTTGGGGTTCCCAGACACTGAGGGAGTTATGTCCTCTGTGAGCTCATCTCCATGGCAGCTTGGGTTCTATATTGGTATTTGCCCATTTCATCAGTGGTCAGAGGTGAGATCTCTCCTTCCACCACTTTTTTTCTTCTTTTCTTTCTTTCTTTCTCTCTCTCTCTTTTTTTTTTTTTTTTTTTTTTTGCTTTATATCATTTGCATTGGGAACATGCACATAGATTCCAGTACTATCCCCCTAATCCAGAGCCTGCCTCCTTTGTTCCAAATGTCTGTTGTGGCTCTAGGTTGCCTGTATGACTCTCCAGTTGTAGAATGTTGGGGGCTCCTGGATGCCCCACCATCTGCTGGCCTCCTGGAAGCCTTGACATCAGCCTGCCATGGCCATGAGCTGCACACCTCATGGTCCAGCAGTCCACTTCTCACACTGCCCCAGCACTGTCACTGTTTCATCCTGTAATATCTAGCTTTCATAATGGTATTCACTCTCCAAGATCAATAGTTACCCCTCACAGGGAGACATTTGAACTCTAATAGGCAGAGAGGAGACTTTTATGGAAAGGCTGAATCACTCTGCATGGAAGATCTGGCATTTGTGTGGCAGTGTCTCTGAGTTTGGTGTTGTGGACTTGTGCCCTTGGTGTGGTTGTGTCTGTGTGGCGGTATCTCTAGGCGTATCTCTTTCCATGTAGATGCATCTCTGAGAGTGTGTACAGAAGGCTGGGGGAGGCCTTCACAGTCACTCTCCTTCCTGGGCTCTCTCTTTCCCCATCTGCTGTGAACTGCCACCTTCATTACACCCCAGATTCATGACAACTCCAGGTCTTTAAAGACATTTCCTTTCAGTCCATAATCCCATGAAATTATTTTTTTATGCTAAATCTTACTGTGTTGTAAGTATTGTACTCAGTGTGGGAGAAACCAGAGGAACAAGACCTAGGCCCTGTTTTTGAGGAGCTCACTATCTAGTGGAAGGGAAAGAGACACGTGCACTAGCAACCTTCATGTAATGTGGCTTGTAGAAAAGTCATCAAGAAAACTGGAAATCAAAATACCATAGTAAAAAGCACAGTCGCATAGAGAGGATCTAGATGTATTTCCGGATTTTTGGCTCCATTCCTTTTGAGGATGATCTGGCTGCTCTCTCCTGGATCATGGTAGATGGCGTGGTGTTTTTGTCCTTCCCTGTGGTTTGGCCTTGCTCTGCAATGCACTCTTCATGTTTCTCTCTATACCCAAGCTATGCTTTCTGAGGCTTCACTGGAGTAAATGCTTTTATGAAACCATGCTTCATCAGCAAGCAACTGGGCCTGTGCCTTCCAATCCTCCTGGGGACGTCAACTTGCTCACTTGTTTTTGATCCTGTCACCTGCTCTCTAACATACTCAACTCTGCTTAGATCTGCATGGTGCCTTCAGTGTCCGTGCCTGCTCAGATCTGTGTGTGGACATCTGTTTTCCAGGGGAAACCCAACACTGGCTGTAGTGGCGAGATGTGGGATTGGACAGGCACACAGAAAAGCGTAGAAATCATGTCAGTAGTAACCATAATAGTAATTAATAGTCTGGATAATAATCATCTAGCTGCATGGGCAATGGACTTGAAAGAATATTCTTTGGATGGGTGTGTTCTTTTTTCTTTTCTTTTCTTTTTTTTTTTTTTTTTTAATGTCCTAGATAGGACAGGAAGATTGGGCTTTTGAAGATACAAAAGAAAGATACAGAAGATACCTGAAAAAGACCAGTCTGGGATCTATGTTGATTTCATTCATGTTAATGACCCTGGTTTCCAAGCTTGGCACCACTGAACTCTCTGGACACTTTTTTTTCTGAGAAGGTTGAAAAGTGCAAATGTGGAAAATGGAGTGATGAGGACAGACTGTGGGGCCCAGCTTTACTCACAGACTCTGCCATCTCTTTCCTTCAAGATGGGGTCACGTGGCTTCTGGGGACTCTGCCATTCTAGGTTTTCAGATCCACACAGACCTTGTGAAGATTTTAAGAAAATGTCAGCTGTGAACTCTGGGTATCTTCATGCCTGACTCCAAGTTTGAGTTTCCCTCCTCCTAACCCAGCTGCCTTCCTTCCTGCTGGAACCAGTTTCCACTTTTCAGGAGTATCGGATCAAATAGGTGTTTGTCTTTCCCTCTGCATTCCTCTATTCTTGAAATCCTAACATTTATTCCAGTCTCTCTAGAATGGAAAGCCTGTCCTTTTTATTGCAGTAATGAGTTTACCCAAGCCTCCACCCCATCATTCCAAAGAGAAGCCCAGCCGTTTGCTGCCTGACTCCTAGGCTGATGGCGCTCTCCCCGCCTGGATTTCCACTTGCCCTGTTGCGCCCATCCGATGGGGCAGAGTCAGGACAAGAATGGATGCCTGAGTTAGCTCCTGTTGCCTAAGGCTTAATTCTCCAGGTGTTTGTCTGGTTTTTCAACTTCTTATTGTAGTTGGGCCTCGGTGACAGTCTGTGGGTTGGCTCCAGATTTTATACATTCCCCATTTTCTATAGTGATAGAAAAGTCCCAGTTTCTGATGGAACATGACCAGAATAAAAACATTTTCTAGCCTCCTTTGTAGTTGTCATATGTGCAGAAGTAATATGGGTAACCTTCAGATAGTGCTCTAGCCCAAGAGCTGTCAAGCTTTTCTTGTAAGGGGCTAGACAATAAATAGTTTAAGATCTGCAGGCCATACAGTCTCTGTCACAGCTACTCATCTCTGCCACTCTAGTGAGAAAGCAGTCATTGAGAATAAGTCACATAAATCAATGAGTATAGTTGTGTGGCAATAAAACTTTATTTACAAAAACAAGCTGTGGGCCAGATTTGGCTCACAGGCTTATGGTTTGCTAATCCTTACCAGTATGCGAGGCAAGACAGAGCAATAAGATAGAAGGGGTTTAGTTCTCTGACACCTTCAAGTTCCATATCCTGGAGTGATCCATATCCATGCAGACTTTTATGAGAAAAAAATAAATGTTAATCTTCCTCAAGCTACTGTTTTCATTCTCTGCAGTACATTAGAGATGACTTCATGTTCTTTGCTGCTCCTCCCACTGAGACATGGAGTCTAATTCCATTCCTCTCCAGTCTGCCCGGGAAACTTGTCTGACCAATAAAATGTGGTGGAAGTGAAGTTCTGGGACTTTTGAGGGTAGGCCTCAAGAAGCCGTATTGTTTCTACCTTGCATCTTGGGACTCTGTCTATTGGATTCCTGAGCTATCATGAAAGAAGCCTGACCACCCTGATACTGCCATGCTGGTGGGCTTTACGGGAGCTTGGGTGGGCCAGCTGAGCTAGCCTTCCACTGACCCTGCCCAAAGCCAATTTGTTCCCTCCAGGCCAGTTCATCCACCGCTGAATGACCTCTGTTGATGCCACATTGAAAAGAACGGCTAAGCCCTACTTGAATTCCTGACTCACAAAATTATGTGATCCAACAAAATGGTTGTTTGAAGCTATTTAAAACTTCCCTCTAAGTTTTAGAGTAGTGACATCAGTGCATCACCTGTCCCAGTTGGGCTTCTCCTACCTTCTATTTCATCCTTTGTGTTTCTTTTGCCTCCTATTTCTCTCTTGCCACACCTAGCCCAGAGAAGGAAAATACTTAAGAAGCTAGAGAAATGATTTGCTTTTATTTTTTTTTTAAATGTTTTATTTATTTCTAGGAGAGAGACAGCATGAGCAGGGGAGGGTCAGAGAGAGAGGGAGTCACAGACTCTGAAACAGGCTCCAGGCTCTGAGCTGGCAGTCAGCACAGAGCCCGACGCGGGGCTCGAACCCACGAACCGTGAGATCGTGACCTAAGTGAAAGTCGGACGCTTAACCGACTAAGCCACCCAGGCGCCCCATGATTTGCTTTTAAAAATGCCAAGTGAAATAATGGTTCAATTGAGTCCTAATTATAGAGAAGATGAAATTAAACATCTTCTAGAGGAAGTAACAATAAAGCCATAAAGTAGGATACCACTGCTTGTTAAATAATGCTTCAATGTCTGATGTGTTCTTTTAACTCTGAATTTCCATATGGGAAAAAGTAGAAAAAGCATGGGCTTTAGAGTTAGACATAGTTCTGAATACTGTCTAAATCACTCAGGTAGCCCTGGGTCTCTTATTAGACAACTCCAGACCTGAGTGCCCTAGTTTTAAAAATGGAGATAACATTATTTACCTCATAGTAGTGTTGTGAGAGTTAAGTATGTTAATTTATGCAAATTTATGGCAAGCCGGTAGTCAACAACATAGTTTTCTCTACATTCCACTTCTGTGCTGTCCACCAGCCACATGTGGCTGCTCAACATTTGAAATGCAGCTAGTCAGAATTACCGTGTGCCAGCATACTGGATTTTGAAGACTTTGTACAAAGAAAAGAAAATATTTTTTTTTTTAATATTTTATTTATTTCTAGGAGAGAGAGAGAGAGACAGCGTGAGTAGGGGAGGGTCAGAGAGAGAGGGAGACACAGAATCTGAAACAGGCTCCAGGCTCTGAGCTGGCAGTCAGCACAGAGCCCGACGCGGGGCTCGAACCCACGAACCGCGAGATCATGACCTAAGCGAAAGTCGGACGCTTAACCGACTAAGCCACCCAGGCGCCCCGAAAAGAAAATATTTTAATTTTAAAATATTTAATTTTAAAATATTGATTGTATAATAAAATAATATTTTGAATATATTTGGGTAAATACAATATATTTTTAAAAAAATTTATTTATATATTTTGATAGAGAGAGAATGAGAGTGAGCATAGGAAAGGCACAGAGAGAGGGAGAGAGAGAATCCCAAGCAGACTCCACACTGTTAGCATGGAGCCCAACATGGGGTTCACACTCATGAACTGTGAGATCATGACCTGAGCTGAAATCAAGAGCTGGACACAACCAATTGAGCCACCCAGGTGCCCCAATTCAATATATTCTTAAAATTAATTTTATTAGTTGCTTTTTACATTTTTCATATGGGTATTTAGAAAGTTAAAAATTATATACATGACTCATATTAATAGCTTGCATTACATTTTTATTGAATAGTGCTGTTTTTTAAAAAATTTTTACATTTATTTATTTTTGAGAGACAGAGTGAGATAGAGTGCGAGTGAGAGAGAGGCAGAGAGAGGAGGAGACACAGAATCAGAAGCAGGCTCCAGGCTCTGAGCTGTCAGCACAGAGCCTGACGTGGGGCTCAAACCCATGGACCATGAGATTATGAACTGAGCTGAAGTTGGGTGCTTAACCGACTGAACCACCCAGGTGCCCCTGAATAGTGCTGTTCTAGATGACTAGAAATACAAGCTACTTTTAGACACTTTTTGAGTGAGGGTGTGATGGTCTAATTTGTACACGATTTTATTATTTAAATGTGGCAGAGATTTCCAGGGTCCTTACATATCTGTTTCTCCTCTTATTCCAGACACACAGGAAGACTACAATTCTATGCAGTAACATTTAATTGGTTGTAAGAACTTCTACCACTTTTGCATCCCTTGCAGAATTAGTGAGAGAAGTGCAATCTCCCAGCCTGGAGTATTGAGTAAGTGTGTGATGGTAGATTCTCTGAAGAGTTGCCTGTACAATTTGCATGAATGAAAAATAAACTGTTGCTATGTTAAGCCATTGAGGTTTTGGGGTTATTTGTAGTAATAGCATAACCCAATTTTTCTAATAATTGTGTTTTTTGCTGAACAAATTTAAATGATCAAATTGCTTTTTTCTAATTTATTTTGTGCATATAGATTCAAAAAGAATTTTGAAAAAGTAGGTTTAAAAAGTGGATTTAAAATTATTATTGTAGTATATAGTTGACATATATTATTATATTAGTTTCAGGTGTACAACATAATGAAAAAGTAGATTTTTGATGTGTACCATTTTATGGGGAAAAAGCTTGGCTAGCACTTAGAAATCTATGGGAAAAAATAGAAAAAGGTGAAAAATATTATTGTCTAACAAAAAGAAAAGAATTTAGCTTAAGTCCATCTCGTCTCATTTTTAGACATTAATAGGCTAATAGAAAAATCACAGAACTGAGTGATGTGTATTCTAACATGTGACACCCAAGTGAGAAGTTTATAGGTAATTTGAAAGATGCTACAAAAATCAGAATGTGTAGGGATGTTGCAGATTCTCTCTTTGGAAATAGTGTTGGCACCTCTGTAGTAAGAACCGTAACTGGCTTTTTGTGAAGGTATCAAGTTCTGGAATCATTGGAGATCAGTTTTGAAGTAGGCCAAATTTATTATAATCCTCCTTATGGATTTTACTTTGTCTTTTTCCTTCCACATAGAAATTTTTACTTGGTAATCGAAAGGTACAAACTTCCAGTTATAAGAGAAATAAGTACTGGGGACATAATGTACAACATGGTGACTATAGCTAACACTGCTGTGTGATATACAGCAAAGTTGCTCCAAGGGTCAATCCTGAGAGTTCTCATCACAAGGAAAAAATATTGGGTTTTTTTTCTTTCTTCTTTTTGTATCTATATTAAATAATAGGTGTTAACTAAACTTATTATGGTGATCATTTCATGATATATGTAAATCATTATGCTGGACCTTTCAAACTTACACAGTGCTTTATGTAACTATATCTCAATAAAACTGGGAAGAAAAAAAAACGCTTTTACTCGGAATTTCTTTTGTGACTTGGAATTTGTAGCCAAGGATTAGGACTTGAGTTTTAAGATGGAAACCTTCCCTACTCCAGTTCCTTACCTCATCTCCTTCCAAAGGAGCTCCTAGGATCTCTTCAAAGAGTGGGGACAGGAGTGAGCATCTTGCTATTGCTGCTTCTGTGTGAAGTCAAAAAGGCTGACTATTCTGGATATAAAATGAATGTTGTTAAGTCTCCCTACTGATGACGATTGTGCAGAGCTTGGGTAATATGTAAGTTTGAGTTCAATCATTTGTAAACACAAATCTAGGACAGCACAAGAATTACATGATCAGGAGCACCTGGGTGGCTCAGTCAGTTAAGCGTCTGACTTCGGCTCAGGTCATGATCTCAACAGTTCGTGGGTTCGAGCCCTGCGTTGGGCTCGTGCTGACAGCTAGCTCAGAGCCTGGAGCCTGTTTCAGATTCTGTGTCTCCCTCTCTCTCTGACCCTCCCCTGCTCACACTGTCTCTCTCTCAGAAATAAATAAAACATTAAAATTAAAAAAAAAAAAGAATTACGTGATCAAGGTAGCTATCTATCGAATGACAGTATAAACACTTCTGTTGTTTTTAAGAAGCAAAAGGTTAAGTAGGATGTTACCAATGGAGAAATGTTAAAAAAAAAACAAAAAAAAAAAACAACTATAGAGCAATTGTAACGTTTGTGTACAGGGTCCTTTTTGAGAAAAAGAAGTGCAGTTCTTCATCTGATGAATATCCATTTCTGGTCTTGTGAGGAACATTAGCAGAGCCAATCTATAGGAAGTCATGTGGCCTTATGACCATTACCATAAGGGTAACTATTGCTCTTCTTAAAAAGGAACCACAGGGGCGCCTGGGTGGCTTAGTCGGTTGGGCGTCCGACTTTCGCTTAGGTCATGATCTCGCGGTTCGTGGGTTCGAGCCCCGCGTCGGGCTCTGTGCTGACTGCCAGCTCGGAGCCTGGAGCCTGTTTCAGTCTGTGACTCCCTCTCTCTTTGACCCTCCCCTGTTCACGCTGTCTCTCTCTCTCCTAGAAATAAATAAAACATTTTAAAAAACAAAAAAAGGAACCACAAAAATGGTGGAGTCCTTCCTAGTAATTCACATGATAGCAGGAAAATTATAATCTAAAAATGCAAATATTTTGTCAGTAATTTTTTATTTAAAACAATTTTTAATGTTTATTTATTTATTTTGAGAGAGTGTGTGTGTGAGTGCATGAGTGAGAAGGGGAGGGGCAAAGAGGGAGGGAGAGAGAGACTCCCAAGCAGACTCCATGCGGCCAGGGCAGAACCCAATGAGGGCCTCAAACTTATGAAACTGTGAGATCGTGACTTGAGCCAAAATCAAGAATTGGATGCTTAACTGACTGAATCACCCAAGTGCTCCTTGTCAATAATTTTTTTAAAATAGAAGCAACATGGTGCCATTTAAAAAAATTTTTTTTAAATTTATTTCTGAGAGAGAGAGAGACAGCGTGAGCAGCGGAGTCTTAGAGAGAGAGGGAGAAACAGAATCTGAAGCAGGCTCCAGGCTCTGAACTAGCTGTTAGCCCAGAGCCCGAAGTGGGGCTGGAACCCACAAACCATGAGATCATGACCTGAGTCAAAGCCAGACGCTCAATCGACTGAGCCACCCAGGTGCCCCTATTGTCAATAATTTTTGAAGTCCAAACATTTTTTTTGGTATTGAAACAGTTTGATTTACTGAATTTATTCTCTTTTATTTTTTATTGTTGTAAAAGTAATATTTTAAATATTTAAAGCAACAAAAAGTTAAGATTTTTAAAATGTTTTTGTGTTCTGTTCTTGTATTTGTTCATATGTATACTTATTTTTAGATGAATGTACAAAAAATTTGTATTTTTTCTTCATGTTTATCATAAAGATTTTCCAGGGTTACTTAATCTTTATAATTATAGTTTCCAATGGCTAGACAGCAATGGTAGAGTACATTTACCTCAATGTATGTAACTGTGGTAGACATTTAGACTGTCTCCAATGTTGTGCTAGATAGGAAACTTCAATAACCATCTCACAAATGACTAAAATTTGTTTAACATTCTCTAAGCTCAACTCCCCATGGGCTCCATACACTGACTTATCCACCATAAATTATTGTGAGACTAGGCCACATATGACTATTATCTCCCCATCAAAGTTGACTATTCCTATGCTCTTTTTCTTTGGTCCTGTGTTTTGACAAGAGCTTGAAAACAGCATGGATATACCTAGAGGGTATTATGCTAAGTGAAATAAGCCAAACATAGATGGACAAATATTGTATGCTTTCACTTACATGTGGAATTGAAAACAACAAATAAACAAAAATGACGAAGAGAGAAACAGACTCATAAATACAGAGAACAAACTGGTGGTTGCCAAAAGGGTGAAGGATGGGAGGAGGGGTGAAATGGGTGAAGGGGATTAAGAGGTGCAGACTTCCAGTTATAAAATTATTAAGTCATGAGAATGAAAAGTACAGCCTAGAAAATATAGTCAATAATATCACAATACTCTTAACATGGCGAGCATTTCATAATGTATATAGTTGTCAAATCACTACATTATACACTTTGAAAACTAATTTAGTGTTATATTGCAATTATACTTGAATTTTTAAAGCAGAGCCTTCATATACTAATTTAAGCTAAGATACCTGTACTAGTCAGCTTCTACTAGGCAAGTTACTCTAACAAGTAAGCCCCACATCTCAGGGACCTCCAATAACAAAAGTTCACTTTCACTTGTTTTACTTTTGATGAGGAAATAGATTTAGTCTCTCTTCTTTTTTAAAAAGGCAGAGAATGAATGTGCACTAAGAGAAAGAACATTGCTTATCTGATCCTCAAGGAAATGATCTTACCTAGTTTGTGTCTCAGGACTGTGTACAAAATAATTAAAGATACTGTTAGGGGGTTCAGACAAATGGGGTCACCTGCACTTTGTGTTCTTTGAGGAGCAAGAATAGCATGGCTATTCCTTCTTTCCTCTTTTTCCCTCCATACTGAGGTGACCTCAGGGGTCCAGCAGCCCTGGACATGCTCCAGATCCACTGTGGAATCCTACCCCAGGAGAGGATACTGGTATGAATGAGCTCAACTTGTATCAGTGGAATAATATGAGCTATCTAGGAGCCTACTTACAGCGTTTAATATTTTTTTCCATTTTCCCGGCTTATAATATAAATAAGAATACAATATAAAATAATGGGAAAATTTTGTCAAGAGTTAGATAAAGCTGGCATCACATACCACAATAACCAGGGGAATAGGAACTATTTTCATAGTTTACATATTACAGCAACACAAAGGTATTGAGGAATTACAACACAAAAACAATTTGAGGAATTACTTGAAAGACACCTATCACTGTGCAGATTTCTTGTCTGTCTCTTTCTTTTCTCCATTTGTTTTATGAGCTTCAGGGGGAAAAAAGAACAACAACAATACAGGTGCCTTTTCTTCTCTGTTGCCCCAGGCCTCATGGAAAAGCCTCTCATTGACTCTGTGGGACAGAAGAACCATATCTAGGTGCTTCCTCCCCAAGTGGAGGTGTTGATGAACAGCAGTGGATATGAGCAATCCTGTCTGCTGGGCTTGGTCTGCATGGTGTGACTAGGAGCTGGGGGGTTTGAGGCCCTAAGGGAGGGTGAGCACTGGGGGAAATGAGCTGAAGCTTCCAGACCTTGGCCAGTGCACTGAAGGAGGCTGAATGTAGTAGTGATGCTGTTGGGACTTTCCTGGGGAAAGACTGAACCTGACATCTCTTTTCTCTAGTTTGTAGGTCATAGACTTGCACAGCATTTGCACACCATGAATCATTTAGGCAACTGAAGAGAAGATAGCCATCACAAACCACATGCTTCGAAAACAAGGTGGGGTGAGTCACCTGGGTGACTCATTTGGTTAAGTGTCTGGCTTTGGCTCAGGTCCTGATCTCATGGTTCATGAGTTTGAGCCCTGCATTGGGCTCTATGCTGACAACTCAAAGCCTGAAGCCTGCTTTGGATTCTGTGTCTTCTTCTCTCTCTACCCCTCTCCCACTCACACTATGTGTCTCTCTCTCTATCAAAAATACACATTTTAAAAAATTAAACAAAAACAACAAGGTATCCAGTCACAAGATTTCCTTATAGTCTAAGATATTTTAATAAATTAGAATGTGTTAAATATAGATGCCTTCCATATCTAAACACAGGGAATAAAAGGAACCTGGGTCTCCCAACTGTCCTTGCTGGCCAGGGATAGGTAGGCAACAGCTTCTACAGTCTCTCAAAATGTATTTCAAACCATCCTTGGATTCCTGTGTCAAGTGCAACATCTTTATGATTTCATCTGCGGTTTCGTACTGTGAATTTAATTTGCCAATGTTTTATTTGAGATCTGTGCTTTCATAAATGTGACTGGGTTGTAAATGTTTTGCACTGTACTCACCTAGGAAGCCACTGGGGTCTGGTGACTTTTGGGTGGTGACTTTTGATTTCTAGATCAGTTTCTTTAATGGCTATATGATCACTTGGGTTTTCTATTTCTTTTTTGAATAAAATTTTAATTCATATTTACATTTAATTTAGATGTATATATAACTTTATATTTTTATGGAAAGTTGGCCATTTCTTCCAAGCTTTTCAAGTTGAAATTACAAAAGTATGAAAAGTATTCATAGATTCTTACTGGAATTTTAAAAATCTTTATGGTATCCACTTTTGTGTTAATAATATTGTAATTTTGGTTTTTTCTCTTTGTTTAGATGAGTCTGGCTGGATGTTTGTCCTACTTAGTATTTTCAAAGGTAAGCTTTGGGTTTTTTTTGATCTCTATTATATATTTGTTTCCTATTTCATCAATTCCTGCTCTTATCTTTTTATTTCATTTTATTAAAAAGATTTTTAATATTTATTTATTTTTGAGAGAGAGAGAGAAAAATAAGAGAGAGAGAAAGAGTGCGAGTGGGGAGGGGCAGAGAGATGTAGACACAGAATCTGAAGCAGCCTCCAGGCTCTGAGCTCTCAGCACAGAGCCCAATGCGGGACTTGAACCCACCAACCATGAGATCATCACTTGAACCAAAGTCAGATGCTTAACCAACTAAGCCACCCAGGTGCCCCTCCTACTCTTATCTTATGACATCTTTAGGTTTACTTTATTGTTCTTCAAGCATTTGAATTGAGCAATTAGTCCACTGACATGGATTCATTTTTTTTAAAAAATTTTAATACCTACTTGAAGGCAAAAAATATTCCTTTATGTATCACTTTTAATACACATTGAAGTACTTTCACTTCCATCCTAAATACTTTATAATTCTAATTAAGACTTCTCTTACCCTGGAGTTATAGAAGAATACCATTTTAGTGTTTCAAATATATTTATTTAAATAACCTTTAAATGTGGATTTCTAAAATAGCTGCCAATTTGTCAGAAAAAATTCTCTGCCATTTATGAACATTTCTTTTTAGCCTAGTGTGTGTGTGTGTGTGTGTGTGTGTGTGTGTGTTGTGTTTCCAAATCTTTGATGTGTACTTGAAAAGAATTTCTTCCTTGGGTAAATGATATTTATATTTACTTATAATATTAGACCCAGCTCTTAAATTTTATTGCTAATTCATATATAAATAGCCTACTTAACTTCTCTTGACTTATTTATTAATTTCCCAGACACACATGCCATATATCCTGCTAAAATTACAAATTTGTCCATTTCTCTTCGTAATTTGGAACACTTCTGCTTTTTAAAAATTTTTTAATATTTATTTTTATTTTTGAGAGAGATATAGAGTGTGAGCAGGAGAGTGGCAGAGAGAGAGGGAGACACAGAATCTGAAGCAGGCTCCAGGCTCTGAGCTGTCGGCACAGAGTCTGATGCGGGGCTCGAACTCATGAATTGCGAGATCATGACCTGAGCTGAAGTCGGATGCTCGGCTGACTGAGCCATCCAAGTGCCCCTGAACACTTTTGATTTTGAGGAGGGCAGCTCTGTTGGTTCGTGATTGCTGTATCTTTTTGATGGATCATACTTTATATTTTACAGATATGTATGCTGTCATTGTCAGAAATGACTTATCTTTCAAACATTGTATTTCAATTTCAGTGTTGTCTCAGAGCCTGGATGAGAAGGTCAACCCCATTTATTCATGACATTTAGCAGAAGAGGGGCAGCATTTGCTTTAGGCCACACTTGGCCCTGAAAATGTTTTCCCAGAGCGTCCCAGGCAGCAGAGTTTGAGGCAGGTGCTGTCACTGAATGACTTCACTCTTTTTTTTTTTAATTTAAAAAGTTTTTAATGTTTATTCACTTTTGAGAGAGAAAGAGTCAGAGTGTGAGTGGGGAAAGGGCAGAAAGAGGGGGAGACACAGAATCCAAAACAGGCTCCAGGCCCTGAGCTGTCAGCACAGAGCCTGTCGTGGGGTTCGAACCCACAGACCATGAGATCATGACCTGAGCTGAAGTCGGACACTTAACCAACTGAGCCACCCAGGCGCCCCATGAATGACCTCACTCTTGACATGCATATGTCTCACTATAAATGCGGAGGCTCCAATAGGTTTCTGAAACAAATCAAACATTGAGCTGTTGGCGACCCCACGCCCTTCCAGGATCAGAGCAGCCACACCGTGAGGACCGGCTCCTCACAGGCCCACAGCTTGGTTGCTCCTCACAACCACCATTGGTGGAACCAGAAAATATCAGGTTTGGTTTCCCTTGCCAATCCCTCCAACCAGTGCTACTATGATCATGCTGGCCTGGTGACGCAGGGATCATTTTCTTGGGAGCTGATAAGATTCATTTTGTGAGCCCATCTCCTTCACTCCAGGGAAAAAGGAAACCAAGTCGGCTGGAGACTGATTTGGTGCCAGCTGCTGTGTTTGCTAGAGCAGGGACTGGGACAGAGGTCCCGTGGGGGCACTGCAAGTCCAGTGGGGAATGGCCTGGGATTTGTTACTTCCAGTACTGACATGTGGAACATCTCTCAACTGATCTGTGACCACTCAGCAAGCATCTTGGAGAGCTGGTTCTGATGGAAACAAGGACACCACCAAGCATAATGCAGATGGAGCATCTTCAAATGAAATAATGATTTTATTTTTCCTACAAAAAAATAAAAAGTTTATTTTTATAAGGTATACTTCAGGCCAAAAAAAAAAAAAAAAAAGGAGTGGAAGCAGATACTTCTTGAGTGTACTTGATTTTGGTATCATGCTGCCTTGCACAGGGTTCTTCTTTTTTATTTATTTTTAATTTTTTTAACATTTATTTCTTTTTGAGAGACAGAGACAGAGGACGACTGCGGGAGGGGCAGAGAGAGAGAAACAGAGAGAACAGGAGAGGGGTAGAGAGAGAGGGAGACACAGAATCTGAAGCAGGCTCCAGGTTCTGAGCAGAGCCTGACACGGGGCTTGAACCCATGAACCATGAGATCATGACCTGTGCCAAAGTCAGACACTTAACCAATTGAGGAGCCACCCAGGCACCCCACACTGGATTCTTCTAAGAGCAGACCCTGAGAGAAGTTTTTAAGTCCAGGATTCATTTGGGCAGGGTAGGAAATGCCAGGAGTGTGGGCGTGATAATTAAGGAAGGGAGGCAACCAAGAGGGTAAATACTAGCAAGCCAGTAACCACAGTGCACGACTGGAGCATAATCCCAGGAAAATGGAGAAAAATCTAGGGACGTGGTATGAAATTCACATCTTCTGTCCATCTGAGGGAAAGACTGTGGACTAAGAGCAGCCTATGGAGGGAGGCTGGGGTGTTCATTGTTCGGCACCGGGGGCCTGGTGCACATATGCTCTCGTGTCCAGAATAAAGCCCTTGGGCACAGAGAAGCAGGTACCTGTCCCTGGAAGTGAGCTGGAAGTGTGCTGAGTGCAGCCAAAGGGCCTGAGGGCTCTGCTCCTGGTGATCTGGGCCCAGGCTCAGGAGACCTGCAGAAACACCCTGTGATGGACACAACAGGCACTTGAGGATTGTTTCCATATCTCTTTTCTTCTCTGAAGAAGTGTCTCTCTAAAGGCTGGGTTTCTGTGCCCTGGTATAGGGCCACCTTTATTAACTTCTGCCCAGTCCACATTACCAGGGACCGGTCTGCCCACCCTCTGTGCTTCCTATGCAAGACCCACAGATGAATGTACTGCAGACCTTGTGGACAGAAGATGAGGGTCTAGTGCAAGGTCAGGGGGACAAGGAGGCAGCTACAGAGCAGAGTTTCCACTGAGGATGCACAACATTGAGGGGACAGCCGAGCAGGGAAGCCAGAGCCATAAAAACAGGCATTCTAGTGGTGGGAATGGCGTGAACAACAACAGCAACAAAAAAAAGACAGGGGAATTATATGCCCTTTGCCCAGAGCATACAGAGAGGCACCAGGGGTGGTCTGCAGCAGAGGGAGACCGTGCCCAGGAACATGGCCAGGCCTCGTTGCTGAAGGGTCGTGGGCAAACTTACATGTGAGAAAGATTATTCAGGGCTGCAGTGTGCAGATAGAGTGGAGGCGCAAGGCCATCCTATCCAGTCAGGTCACGACTCCTGATGCCTGGAGTGTGTGGGTGGGGGAGCCTCACCGATCTCTCTAGTCTTGGCTGAAGTCTAAACTTTGCAAACACGCTCCCTGGAGCGTGCCTAGGTCCAAAGGCTGGTACTCCAGCCTGAGCCCTAGAGCTTAGAGCCTCCACTCTGGTTGTTCTTAGTCGGCCCTTCTCACGGCGGGGAGGGGGTTCTAATGCCCCTGAGATGTGCCCACACAGAGCCTGTACCCCATCCTCTAGACCATGGCTCTGGTCCCCAGGGCTGGAAGTCCCTTGCTCACAGACCTCTGAGTCGGCTTCTTCCCCACACAGCCAGCCCCAGGCCTGCTAGCTGGCCCCAAAGGCAGGGGCTGTTCACAGGCCAGGGTGCCCACAGACGTGCGTGCACTTCCCCCGGGGGTGGGGGGTAAGACGGAAGGAGGTGGGAGGAAGAGATGAAAACAGGCCTCCATTGTACCCTTGCCCAAGCCTTGCCCACGGGAAGGGTGGGCTTGCCTCAGGGCTGGGGGGCAGGAGCCTGTGAGTACCTGGGTTCCAGCCCCACTTGCCTGTTCCCAACCATTGCTGTACCGCTTTGCACCTGTTTTATCCGCAGGCTTTGGGCTAAGACACAGTCTGAATAACCACTCCGAGGCGGGACAAAATGCATTTGCAAAACCACTGGCCTAAATAAACTTCCCTGGCTTTTCTAAGTAGAAAATCCAATTTGAAAAGGTTTAGCAAGAGCTGAATCGGAAATGTCATCAAAGCATCTGCCACCCCTGCATTTCTCCAGCCACGGCTGGATCTTTATCAACAAAGTGAGGCTTTGTCTCCTCCACATTTCTGAAACATTTTGAGAAGCTTTTGATCTCGTGGTCGCCACCTCTCACTCCGATTTCTTGTCCCCTTGAATTCCCGATGGCTTTCACAGTTTGTCTTCTGTGGTGATTCTCTCTCTGGTTTTTTGGTTTTCTTCCTCCGTGTTGACTTCAAGTTGGGACAAAGCCCTTTTTCCTTCTAGTCCCCAGGCAACTGCAATCCAGGCTTCTGTGTGGGTGGAGATCGGGGTGACATGAGGGCACAGCAAGCCAGAGGCAGATGCAGGTGTTCTTTGGCCACTGGACCACCCCAGAGGGGATTACGCCTTCTCTGGCATCCTCTTCAGGGTCTTGACTGTTGCCACAACGCTCAGAGCCCCATTCTGCCCCAAACTCCTCACATCTCCTGCCTTCTTCCTATTTGCTAGTTTCTTTCTTGTCTTTTTATAAGTTTTATTTAGTTTGAGAGATAGAGAGCAAACGGGGGAGGGGAGAGAGAGGAGAGAGAGAATCCCAGACAGGCTCTGCACTGTTGGCAGAGTCTGATACAGGGCTCATTCCCACTAACCTTGATCTTGACCTGAGCCGAAGTTAGGAGTTGGACACTTAACTTACTGAGCCACGCAGGCACCCTTCTTTTTTGTATTTTTAATTCTTTAGAACAAACCAGCTGTATTTTACCTTAAACACAATGGCGGCTCCTCTCTGAGAATTGCATTGGCTTATCCCTGGAACATGATGTGTAGATTTCTCCACATAATATTTCTTTCTGTTTGTGGGGCCTTAGGCTTCATGCTGGCCACTGGGCTGGTTAATCCCCCAGTGCCCATCACCCTCTCCTGATGCTGGCATCCCCTGCCAATCCTCCTTCTTTGCCCAATCCACCATCTGGAGAGGCCCATTCCTTAGCATCGATTTGCTCCAGGGACCTGGAGTTTATAAGTCGAGCCCTTTCTCTTCTGCTTAGAAAAAGTAATTAAAAACTAAACCTGGTTATATATATGTAGAATGGAATATTATTCAGCCATAAAAAGAAGTAAATCCTGTCATTTGTCAACATGGACAGACTTTGAGGACATTATGCTCAAGTGACATAAGTCAGGCAGAGAAAGACAAATACTGTATGATCTCACTCATATGAGGAATCTAAACAACAACAATAACAACAGCAACACCAGACTCAGAAAGAGAGATCAGAGGTGTGGTTGCCAGAGGCAGGGATGTAGGGCTGGGAAAGGGGAGAGGGGGTCAGAAGGTCCCAACTTGCAGTCATAAGATAAGTAAGTCCTGGGGATGTAATAGAGCCCATGATGACCATAGTTAGCACTGCTGTGCGATATATTTCAAAGTTGCAAAGAGAATAGATCCAAGCATGACAAAGAGAAAAACTGTGTTTTTGGTAACTACATGAAAAGACAGATTAAATTTATTGTTAATTATTTTGCAGTCTCCATAGATCAAGTAAGATCCCGTACACCTTAAACTTATATAGTGCTATAAATTATATCTCAATGAAATTGAAAAACAAAGTGAAACCTAAGGTTGAAGACCATTTTTTGGAGCCCAAGGCAATGTATCTAGAAGGGTCCAGAATGAGGATGGGGCCAGGTGGCTTCAAAGCCTTCCAGGTAAATTTCAGCCCTTACCAGAATCTCAGCAGGAAAGGTACCTAGAAGGAATCGCCAATCTGCTGTACAAATGCTAGAACAGCTCCAGTTCTTCTTTTTGCCTTTTCTGAAATCTCTCCTACCTTTCATCTGTTCCTTACAACCTCTCTGTTCCTTCTTCCTTCCAGGGAAAGCTGTCTCCTGTACTTGCTCATGCTCATTCACAGTGACACACATTTACTGTGTGTGCATCCTAAGTGTTACCGACAGCCATCCTGCGTGTGAGCACCAGGCGCGTGAGTCCCCATTCTCTGTAGCTCATCCTTAGAACCCCTGGAGCCACCCTGTTCGTCACCATAGTGCTGGCCCGAGGGATAGTCCTGTCCCCAGGGAGCTCTGCCATTGCATCCTGAGCCTGAGCACCAGGCAGCCTCTGGGGTCTTGGCAAAACGCGCTCCTCATAAGCCCCTGAGTTGCTGATTCGTCCTTCCCTCCTGGGAACTTGTTTGCTTCAACACAGCACAGGAAGCCACAAAAGCATGGAGCCAGGGGTGGGGAGAGAGGGGGGCAGGGTATTCTCTGGGTCACTGAGTGAACCCAAAAGGCCAGCGGGGAGACTGGTGACACCCACATCACTCCCACGTCAGAGCCCTCCGAGCTTGGCTCTTATGCCCTGGCTCTGATGACTACAAGTCTGCTTTCTCCCCAGGCTCTGCTTCCCACACAGCTCCCAGAATTGGTAGCTGGAGCTCTCCTTTGCTTCCTGTGCCTAATCATTGGCTCTGGGAACATGCCTGAGGCCGTGTCCTTGGACTAACATTCCACTCTGTTCTTTCCTTGTTCCCTTTGACCCCCTTTCCAAGACCATTTCGATGCTACCCTAACTGATTATTCTGGCTCCCAGATTTCTCCTCCCCAGTCTGTCAGTGGTAAACATCCCACTGACCAGTGATTCTTCGTAGTACACACCTCATCATAGACTTGTATCTAGAAGGTGTTTCAAAACAGAACGAAACTAGACATTTTGAACCTACCTTTCTCTGGCTCAGAAATTTTCAATGTCTTCCCCTAGTCAATCAAAGACCCTATAAATCAAACAGACCTCCAGCAATATGATTTCAATGTAACTTTCTCTCTCTGGGAAGCTTTGTTGTAGTTAACTTGGTGGTAGAACATTTTGTTGCAGAAAACTGGACGTGGAAAGCATCTAGAACAGTGCCTGACCTGAGTAACAGCCAACTAAGTGTTAGCACAGGTCCACAATCCCTTGTATGAAAGCCCCAGGGCCCAGTGTGTTTCAGAATTCAGAATTTTCACATTTTGGAGAAGAAACATGGTGAATATGCCATATATTAAATAAATCTTAGGACAGGGTCTGGGGCTGCCCCCCCATACTCGAAAATGTTAATATATCTACAGAGAAATGTATGGGGATTCATACAAAGTAGGATGCACAAAGATTAAAAATTGCCTCATGTTGATTCAGGTCAGGTTTTGCCACTAAATGAAGTATGAAAAACTTTTGTTGTTTCAGTGCTTTGTGAATTTCAGACAAGCAGCAAAAGCACCCCGGACCCGACCTGTTACTATCGCTGTGAGCTAGGCTGAGGCAGCACGGCCTCAGAGCGGGGCATCGGCTGGGGCTTGAGGGGTGGCACGCCCTAGATAATGGAGGTAGGGGTCAAGAGATATTCTGGGCAGGGGGCCTAGAGGAGCAGAGGGCAGAGGCAGGGCAACCTCTCATTGGGCAAGAGCCATATGCCGGGGACCAGGAAGGCGCACCAGAAGGCACATTGTCTTGGGTTACCAGGGTTACTCTGGGAAGTATAAACATTTGGCACAACCAGGCCCTGCTGGGAGATGCCTGCTGTGTAAGAGACGGGTTGCTCTTCAGAGCCAGAGTCTTGGAGTGTCACTTGGCCATTTACCCTTTGATTAATTCACAGAGTGGTTGGATCTTTCCCATTTACATTAAGAGGACTGGGCTGAGGGTGAAGTCACTCACCGGCAAGACACGACGAGGCCACAAATGGAGCTGCTGGTGACAGCTCTGGGAAAGCCTCATCTTGCCAATGGCCAGACCCTCCCTCCCTGGGTGTCCGACGCCATCTGCATCTGCTGAGTTTTATGAATGCCCACACCGGCTTTTCTTCAGTCCCAGGTCACATGGCCCATGCTCTGAATATCGTTTTAGTTATTAGGAGATACATCATTTTGAAATATGACATTATAAATTAAAGTCAGTCTTTTCATTTGGACTTAGGTTTTACCTTATTCCCAAATTGTCTTTACATCTATTTTCATATTTCATTCTGGCAGAAAGTTCTAAAGAACAGCTTGCCTTCACCTCCACCCCGCCTTCTGCTCAAAGAGAGGCAAAAAGCCTTTTGTGTTCATACGAGTCTGGACAGGCCACCGGAGCTCCCATGAGGGCCCATGAGGGGGCGCGGGAACCCCAGAGCCTCTGCCAGCAGAGGACACGCACATCTGGAAGGAAGGTAGGTTGGGGAGGGGAGTGCTGGTCACATCCAATAGATGGTGCGTTTTGGTGACTGTACAATATGGTCTCTAGCTCTTCTACCTTATATGGGTACTTACTTGGCACTTCAAAAAATGCATATGCTGCTTCTCATTCGCAGCAGAGCTAGTAATGCAAATACGTGGGTTGCTGACAAAAGCCACTAACATTCATAACTTTAAGACTAATAACAACTTTAATATGTGAGTGCGGCTGAACTCTCAGCAACAATTAGAGCAAACGCACGAGAAGAGAGGCTGGGAAGCCAGAGCACATTCATCTGCAGGTTACCATGTTCTGAATGATACGGTGTCACAGCCCATCAGGGACCTCTTGGAAGGCGGGGGAGAAGGAACAGAGTTCTAACTTGGGGTGCTGGCTGCATATTGGAATCACCCAGAGATAAACAATACCAATAACAACATAACATCAAACAAAACACTGATGACTGGGCACTACCTTCCAGAGACTGTCATTTAGTAATGAATAGTAACTATATTGTGATTTAACAATCAGTTTGGGGTGCATCCCCCAAATGGAAAAACATAAGTACTTTCTAGTTCTAACACACCACCAGTGTAGAGAAACTATTCTTAATTTTATTTTCTTGACAAAGTGAAGTCCAGATGTGGTTTGTTCCAGGGTTAATGAACGAGCCTGGGCTCGAAGGGAAAGTTTGGAGTAAATGAGAAATTAAAACTCAAGGTCTGATTTGCCAGCACTCTTAGAGGGTCACTGGCCAGCTGTGTTTGCCTGGGACTGGGGGGCTTTTTGGGACTTGAGACCTTCAGTTTTCAAATAAGTCGCCCTACCAGATCTCCCTGAATAAGAATGATAACCTTACCATCCCACCAGATGGTGCAGCTGCTGCTGAGAGCAATCTCCCTTTGCATGTGTGCCATCTCTTGGTTCATGAATGTGTTTGAATCTACATGAACTTGCTAGATCCTTGCTACCACCCCGCCAGAGGTATAGATTCCTAATGCAGGCAACACCACACTCATTTTACAGATGAGGACACTGCCACTAAATGACTCTGCCAAAATGGAGATGGCACATAGACTCAGGTCTTTTGATTTCGACAACATTTTCTTTCCACTGAGTCATGACCTCCAAGACTCTGTACCACTCTAGCAGTCTGCTCTTAAGTCATAAAGCATCTAATGTTGGCTTCATGCCACCCCCAAATGGAAAAACCAACCACAAGCTTCCTTTTTACCTAGAACTGTATAATCCAGTGGGACTCTAATGAAAGTTATTGCATTTGTAGGTGAGAAAGCATGTTGGAAACATGGATGTCTTTGTAGGAAGAAGTGGTCTCTGACTCTCTCAGACTGAGGAGGGACAGCTGTTATGAAAGAAGCATCTTCAAGTTGTCCTAGTTGTAGAATTTGTTCCACTGGTTACTTTTCCTCTTCTCCTTCTTAGAATGTCAGCTTCTTGAGGGCACAGTCTGGCTTGCTTATGGTTTTATTCACAGTGCACAGAATGTAGGGTGATGCAAGGTCGTGTTTGGCAATATCTTCTAAGAGCACTCAGCTCAGACCATGTCTGACGGGATCTCGAATGCCATCTCCCTAGTCCTACTGGGGCAGAAGCCTCAAGTCCTTCCAGAATTTACCTTCTACCCAGGGTAATCCAGTGAGACTGGTGAGGTCATAGGTTATTTACACAAAGATGCTCTTGATGTTCTTGGGAGAATGCCTCTCAGTCATTGGCTCCACCTTAGATGCACCATTTCTCAAATACTTATGTTACCTTAAAATGGGGTCCTTCCCCTAGAGTGGGGAGAGGCTTTCTGTTCATCTCTCAGTGAAATCTGCCATCCAAATAGCACAGCAACCAGAGGCCAAGCTGTTAGTGTAACAGTCTTTTGTCCCTACCTCTGTCGGCTTTCTTCCACTCACTCTTTATAGCTATCACAGCACCCTCAAGAAATATTTTCTTGAGATACTTATATGGCTGAAGATTTTATAATCAGAAGTTCCTGCTGACATTTTTGTGGGTCAACGTGATGGTGTGCGTCTCTTCATGCAATAGATGTGTTTCTGGAAATGTGTCTGTAAAACTTTAAAAGTGTACCGTTTCCCCAGTAGCTGATCATTTCTGAACTCTCCCTTTGCTGCCTTCCCCCCGCCCCCCAGATCTATAAAAGAGACACAAGAGAAGCCTGCTGCAGAAGGAGTCTTGAAAGGGAAGAAGGGAAGGATGCTAAGGCTTGCTAAACCTCAGCTGCACAGTGTCCCTGGCAGGCAACTGTGCAGACAATGAGGTTGAGTTGGCTCACTACGTCCCTCCTCTGGTTCATCCCGGGAGGGCAGTGGGGAGTCTTTGGGCATTCACATCTTGTGGGGCCAATAAAATTTGCTCAGACCAGCCCTGGGGGAAAGGCTGCTCAGGCCACAGAGGGAAGGGACTCCAAGGAGCTGAGACAATGAAGAACCAGGAGAGGGGAATGGCCCCTGTGCTCAGAGCATCCTGGCCTGTCCTGGGCCATGGTCCCTCCAGTTATGTGCTCTCCACCTGCTGGGCACACCCTCTCTGTGTGCTGGGTGCTTTGTCCCAGACCAGGCAGCTCTAGTTCCAGGATGGGACTGGTAAAGTGCCCATGCCTCATGATCCGTGTCTGAATTGCACAACCCAAAACCAGACGGGAGGAACAGCAGGAGGTGAAGAAGGCGGTTCTGCCACCATCACGCTAGCACAAAGCTTGGATCACAGTATGCAGGTAGGCAGCGCCATTGAGGTTCCCAGATCCTTAGTCAGTGTAATCTTTAAGCCCTAGCACTGCGGGAGTTGAGGGTGAAGGCATTCCACCGCCCCCACCCGCCCGCCCCTGTGAATGATTACTTTCTCCCCAGACTGCTGAAAACAAGGAGAAGACAGAGTTCTGGGATCCTAGAGAAGGAATGGGGATAGGGCTAATAAGTAAAGAGAATGAGAGGGTGTAGAGAGAACAGGGGTGGTGGGAAGAGTTATAAGGAACAGTGGAAGAGAGAGGAGGGAAAACACACACAACGCTGTGGGCAGACTCATACGTTTCCCAAAAATCCTGCTGTATAGGCCTCTGAAATTCTCTGCCAGGCCACCCTGTCAGATGGCAGAGAGAGTCTGGGGACCCCGTTATCCTTTCTGACAGAAGTGTGCTGGCTTGGGAAAGCCATTAACAGCCTCAGCCTCCTGGGGGACAGTTGTGCACAGTGGTGACATGTTCCTAAGCTCCAGACTTAGCATCCGCAGGGACTTAGGCTGGGTAAAAATCTGACAATTCAGCATTTTCAGTAATGCTCAGGAGTAAAAAGGAATTGGTCACAGGTGGTTTCTGATGGTTTTCTGTTTTGTGTTTGGGTCACTAATTGGCAGGTTCCTTTAACTTAGGGAACTCTCTTCTTCCATTCAGTGTTTTGGGCACTACCACAAGGCTGTAGATGCTGTTCCTGAAAGGTGGTGATGGTGGTTGGGGGTCAGGGATCTGTCCCTAGGAGAGTCACACAAGCCTGTGTTATCTCAGGTGACATTGGCTCTATTCTGATTCCTGGAAGTGAGAGCAGCTTCAGGCCCCTTGAGTCCAGGTTAGAGGTGCCTCAAACATTTCCTCATCCCAGTATCCAGGATGGCTGGGTTCATTTGCTTGCCCTGGACTTTTATAACCATAGACAAGGGTTGACATATGGACAAGGTGACCATTCTCCATAAACTTCAAGTTCTTCATGTGCAAGTTGGGGGTCATTTACCCTCACTGAATTGTTGTGAAAGGAGCTTCTGTATATGGCAAGGACAAAAAATGAGAAGAAAATGATACTTGTCCAAGCAATGATGTGTAGCTTTTCTTCCCTGTTCCAGGTTTGCCAGGGATCAGACAGAGTGAAGAGGATTTGCTAGCTCTGTTGGTGTCATGCCCAGACACCAGTAATAGGTGAGCATTCGGGTGCAGGGCCAAGGCCAGGCCCAAGCTGGGCAGTCAAGGGAAAACCTCATTGCAGAGGACACCCCCTTAAGTTATTAAGCATGTTGGGAGCAGCTTTAAAGGGTATCGAAGTCTCTGGAAGGCAGTCTGAGGGGAGTGGCATTTGTTACCCTTTTCTGTTTATGGCCCACAGAGGTGTTTGAGGACTGTTGCCTGCACAGCGGTCCCCCAGGGCTTTCCTGGAGACTCCAAGGGACAGAGTACTGCTTTTCTTGCCTGCACAGTTGTCCATTGGTCAGTGTGAGGGTTTGGAAAATGTCTTGGCTTTACACCTTTAAGGTAGCTCTGAGGATAGCCACTTTCTGTGTCCACTCTTGTTCTCAAGGCTATAAAAGGTTGGTCACCTGATGAGAAATTCACTTGGCAAGTAGGGTGATGCTCTCCAAAGACATCATACCTATAAGGTTTCACAAAAGTTCTGCAGACAAGTGAGAGAAAACAATTCCCTGAGGAAAACACAGGATTTCATCACATTACTGAAATATAACTCACCTTTTCTGTTACATTTCTATTATTACTTTTCTTTTACTCTGACCTCTTCAACTCTTTCCTACTTGTATTATATGCCTTGCTATAAGCTGCATCAAATCCCTTGGGAAGAGTGGCAGAGTGTACCTAAGTAAGTAAAGACTTTTCATGTCAGAACAGAAAATGCTGTATAACTAGGGGCTGCTATGTGATCCACTAACTTGAATAGCAACACAACTTAACCTGCCTAGGAGAAAGGCAGCATCATGTGATGGGAAGACCACAGGGTTTGAGGTCTAAAGTTTTTAATTTGAACCCCAAACCTTTAATTACAGAGGATGGTTGTCAAAGGTTGGCAAACTTTCTTTGTAATGTGCCAAAAAGTAAATATTTCCTGCTATGTAGGCTATGGAGTCTCTGTCCAGACTATTCAATGCTGCCATTGTAGTGCAAAAGGGGCCAGAGATAATGTGTAAACAAATAGGTGTGGCTGTGTCAATAAAACTTTATTTACAAAACCAGGCAGTGGGCCACATTTGGCCCGC